GAGAAAAAAGTACATTACATCTCGTTACATCTAGATCACATTTCCACTACGATGAAAGGATCTGTGCGCACTGGAAGCAGGAAATTGCGAGAATCAAAACACCGCTCTTTGGGGAGACATAAGGAAGTTGATGCGAAAATGACATTCTGATGAGACGGTTTGAACTGAGGTGCGCCCGCACCTAACTTAGAGGCGGGGTTGAATACTGCACGTCTTCAATTACAAGTCAGCACTGTGATTTAGGTGTCCTGCTACCGTACAAAGGGATGGTATAAAAATGACCCAACCGAAGTTGGACAATGATCGTGAGCTGGAGGGGAAAGAAAGGATCTCGGGGAGAGGGGGAAAGAAATGCACTGTCAACGAACTGAGGTGACAACGCTTGATGCTCCTTCACGGGGAAAATCGGACAGTCGCAATAGCCTTGAATAGCACTGCTAACCAATACAGTACAAGACCTGACCGAGAGTAAGTTCACTAAGTCAAATATTCGATACGTGATTATTGTGATGCGTGTTGAACGATACATTTCTAAGATGATTCGGACCCGGCAGAATAGGATCGGAAGTCTTCCTGCATACGGTATAACTTGGTTTATTCTAAACCGAAGCACATAGAACGTTGTCGGTAGACGGAGATACGGATTTCCCGAGATTGAAGTTGGGAGGTCGAGGTCGCTAGAATGTCGGTAGCATCGCTCTCAGGAGATGTGCTATCTTGGCCGCCGACTGATGGGACCCTGAGAGCACTGTATGGCGAGACGATCCTGAAGCCCGGTCGATCACACAAGACCTGCGTGTGATGAGATGAGCTTGGATCCTCTTTTCGGCATTGTGTGAACCTTCACGGAAAGAACGTAGCAGGCAATTTCCGGGACTCTACTGACTCTAGACAGCCACCAGACAAAGGAGGAATTGTGACTTTTTCGTCGCATTTGAAGAACAGTACCAACAATGCCCGCCTTGATGACCGGAATGAACGATCGATGTCAATGGGTTGTAGGCATGTAGCCAGGGCCGCACGGTAGTAGTAGCCAGACGGAGGACTCCTCCGGGGACGTGTTGAGTAATAATTGTGTAAAATAAGAGCCGGGTTTTAGCAAGAACGAAAGCAAATAAGCGAGAAGAGAGAGACCGCGGGCCTAGTCGAACAACCAAGCATCAGACCAATACCAATTAAGCAAAGAAAAAGAAAATTGGCGCGTTCGATGATGAGCGGTGAGTGATGGTGGCCCACCACACGAGAGGCAGAGCAAAGAAGCGCGAGAGACTGTTGGGCCGAAGGAAGCAAATTGAAATTCCTTTCCACAATGGGATGAAACTCTTTCAAGAACGTACTGTAGTTCGTCGGACGGTTCATCCGTTTCCCTCCGTTCTCCGCCATTTTTTGGTTTCAAAGAATTTTTTGGTTCAAAAAATCAAAAGAAATTTGACAGTTCCCATGGTCCGTTTCTTCGCGATCACGATTTATTCCCGTAAATATACGACTCGACTCAACCAAACCAACCAACCAACCACCAACCACGGAAGCCTGATGACGGCCTGACCAGGAGGGACTCGGACGGGGAATGGCGGGGGCCAAGAGCCGGCAACTTGGCCCCGAAATGCCCGCTGATCCACCTTTTCCCGCGCCTTTTCCCAGTGGGTACTAGTGGGGGAACTGATTGCGATGAAAGAAACTGTACTGGAGTTCTCTAACTTACTTGAACAACATCATAAAGGGGGTGATCCAGGACAATAATTCAGCTGCGTCTTCAGCTCGCCGCCACATACCTCCTTCCTGGTCTCCTCGGGGTTTCAGGTTTTTTTTTTTCAAGAACCGCCGCCCGTGCTGTATGTATGTCCGCGCTCTCGGGAGCAGAAATTACCACTTACTGTATTGTTTGTACATAAACGATATATAATAAGACTATTCGTTCCCCCCTCCTCCAAAAGTACGTCAGAAAAAGCACCTGCCAAAGGCACCTTATCAAGAATGTCTATAAAAATAGAAACTGTAAGGGTCCGTAGTAAGCCCACTTGAGCGCTCAGCGTCGTTGACCAATTTTGGGATGAGAGGCGGACGTTGGGCGAATGAGTGTGGCGTAAATAATTATCCCAAAGATCGTTCACTCTTCGTAACCCGATTAACAGAGAAATTGTCCCCTAAATTATGTCTAATCTATCTATCATCCTGCCACGAGTTCTTAAAAAATTTGAAGCTTTTTTGAAGTCTCGAGTTGCACATTTGGCATCATGATACTATCTATACCCTCGGAAATCGGCTCCGACTCATTTACTAAACATGGAGACAATAAACCCTTCAAATAAACACTGTACGAACTTGCGTGTCGTTCTAAAATTTGGTGTGACCACGAGCACAAGTGGACTACTACGGCCCTCGAGTTCGAGGAAGGAGCACATGTGTTCAATCGCTGTCACAGTACTACGAACTTAACGGACACTGACAAAAAGACGTTTTCCGCCTGCCAGTGCCAAACCGGTTGTGTGGTTCTGTATGACACGGACACGCGTTGTCTGCATGCCGCTATCCAACAACAGTCTTATTTTAGGCCCAGGTTCCCTGAATCTGGGCCCATCTAAAAACGTGACCATCGTTTCAGTACCTGACAAAAACTCGAGGATTGGATCGATTCATATAGAGTAAATCAATCAGGTCAGAAACCCTTGCCAAGCAAAGAGAATGTTGGGGTCCAGATTCACGCGTGGAAAACTAGATGGGTAACGAAACCTTTAACTTTCTATACACATTTGACTACACGGATGTTCCTATCAGACGAAAGTGATGTGACCATGGAATATTGAAAGGACGTGGGGAATGTGCGGACAAGGTGTCGAGAATGTAAAAACGGGGTCCAGAAATCAACGCAACAGGGAGATAGAGAGATAGATCGTGAATATATGATGTCCGTTATTGTGTCGAAGACACACTCGGGACAATCGAAACAATTATGGGGCGGTGGCGTTTGCATTTCCGTTCGAATGGGCCTCACTGGAGGGAAAGGGAATACCAAGTAGCGAGGCATCTTTCCGACTTCGACTCGAACTGGGTCGGGAGGATCTAGGATGTTCAGTCGAAGAATACTCAGCGTGAAGGTAAAGTTTAACCTTACGAATCCTTGGATTTTCGATTAGGTTTGGGCCAGCCCCAAACCTCACGGATCCACCGCTCCATTGGCACCTCCTGCTTCATGACTTTAACGATCCAGGGGTGGGTTGACATCTCTTTGGGCGTTGGACGTAGAGCCGGATCGACCCGTAGACTAAGAGGAATAAAGTCAAATGAGACACGAGGAAGACGGGTGAAGGACCGCACGTCTCTTTGATGAAGTCCTTCATGGCATCACTCCAACGTACATCTGCTTCGTCTTCTAATTGGGGTGGCTAGACGTAAAAAATGGATATATGGCACGCCACGACAGAGAAATGAAATGCGCACCTCGCTTTGCGTAATATAAATCATGAGTTCGATGGGCGGCATATCACAGGGGAATGGGAAACGATTTTGCACGAGCTCAAGGAGTGATAGGCCTGTCGACCAAACATCTGCCCGGATGGAATATTCGAGACCTGAGAGGCGTTCTGGCTGCAAGGCAGGCGCATGTTAGACGCAAATATTACGTTACAGTTTGAGCAAGACGAACAGCCATGTAGAGACTTGTACCAGTGAACGTGCCCGCTACGGATCCGATCAATTCGCCTGAAACGCCAAAGTCGCAAAGCTTTACGACTCCCTCGCGGGAAAGAAGGACATTAGAAGGTTTAATATCTCGGTGAATCAGCTTCTTTGAGTGGAGGTATGCAAGGCCCTGCAAAATCTAGAGGAAGGTGAGGATGGCGGTGACATTGGAGCTGCGTAAAGGCATACCCCTTCCGCGAGCCTCCCAGCGACTTTCTCACCAACCCTGGCCCCGCGTTCCTTGATACGCTTGCCCACGGCTTCCAAACTCTTCCCTTGGCATATTTCCATCACCACTTTGACTTCGCTCGATGATGGAGACATGTAGGCGCCGTAGAAGCGAATAATGTTCGGGTGCTTAATTGTGGTGATAAGACCGAGCTCACGCACGACTTGTTTCATTGGGGCCTCGCGAGTGGTAATCGTCTTGCGGGCCAGGAGTTTGCCCGTGCGTTTGTCCCTGACTTCGTGCACGGCACCACCGGCACCTTCTCCGAGCCGAGCAACCTCATCAAAGAAATCATCAGACCATTCAGTTTGTTGCTGATCATCGATCTGCTCCTCGCCAGCGTATGTGGGCGCAGGGGGAGTGGAGCGGGTCTGGACCTCAATATCGGAGATCGTACGCCGGACGTCCGCCATTGAGAGTTGCCTAGACGTGGACATCGACGGACGGATAGTGGCATCATCGACACCACTATCATTGAGTGGAGGCGAGAAGGAAGGTGTCTGCGGACCGCCATAGTAATCGCCGCCATAATGGGGTACCGTTGGTTGGCTAGTCTGACGGGAGCTAGAGGCGCCGCTTATGGCAAGCTTGAGAGAGGGTTTGCCTTTGCCGGGGGCTGCGGATGGGGTTGGGATCTGAAGGGCTAGCCTTGGAGTAGGCGAGCGAGATGGGCTTAGAGGGGCTACAAGAGAAGAACTTTCAAGCTTGGGTGCTGACGCCTTGCGGATTTTTAGAGGGAGGGTCTGCTGTGAGACAGAATTGGGTTGGGGGGAGGTGGACCTCTGGAATGGGCCAGAGCGAGGGCCGAGAGGGCGTGTAGGAGTGGGCTGACCGCTGGAAGCTACTGTGGAAGACATGGAAGTACGGGCTACAGTTATTGAGAGGAGAAAAGGTAAGAGGTTGCGAGGCGACTCAGGGGAGTCGGACTGCCGGCGTCCGCGCGAAAGAAATGCCTGGTGCAGAAAGGAAGTGGCACTGTACAACAACTACGCGATAACCGTGCATGCCATCCATCGCCCTGCCGAGGCCCTTGACAACATCCGTCCCCGACGTGATTTATCGTTTATCGTTCTTCTCTTTGCTTAATCTTCGCGGTACTGTGGCCGAGTGGTTATGGCGTCACGTTTAGGCTCTGTCCAATCCGTGATGGGAAACCTCGCGAGTTCGAATCTCGTCAGTGCCAGCTTTTTTTATTTATTTCTCTTCCGTCCTGTCTTCCACAACCACTTCCACAACCACAACTCTGAAGATGTGTCATAGAGCCCTCCTTTGGGCTTGAAGCTTGAAGGTGCTCTGTAATTTTCTCTCCTTGCGTCATGTCGTCCTCGTCGCATAGCGACCCGACCCGAAGCGACAGCGGAAGCAACCTTCGACTTGACTCGATCGGTGTCGATCCCGATCAATCCGTCTTTCCGACCCGATGGTGACTCACTTTGCCGAACCACTTTGCCGAAATTACTGTATGAGTCCGTGATCCTGTCCACCGTGGTATCCCGAAGGAGCTCGAAATGAACTCAGTACTCTCCCTCTTTTCAGGCCCCCAGGTGGTCAGATTGACGTTCGTTCACCTAACGATCATGCACGGGCGCTCGGTCCGATTGAAGGACAACGCTTATAAGTGGTCCGAGACGGCGGAGAGTAGATAGAACATCGAACACCTCGCCCTTGCATTGAAATTCGCGGGGAGCCTGGATGGCTATTGCCTGAGCGTTACTATCAGAATTAGGCTCTGTTCAGCAACCAAACCCTCAGTTGAGGTTTTCGTTGAACACTCCATGCCTGGTACTCCCACCCCTCGTTCTGAAAAGAAGGCAAAAGTTTCTGGGGCTTGCATTTCTCAAAAGCCTTGCTCACTTTGTAAATGGCTTTACTGATGTCATCCACACCTTAGCCCCTTCTGGACCGGATACTCCTCATCGACGCCAGGAGGCTGTGTGGCAAATACAGTCCGCACAGATGCTTGAAAAGTCATGGTTTACACAGCGACAGTTCCTGTCACTGATCAAGGTTCTTCAGAAGGATAATGAGATATACATGGTATTGGATGACGACATTTGGAAGGAGTGGATTCGTGATGGACTTGGCATCGAACAGCCCATTCCTTGGTATGAAAGTGATTAAAATATCTCAGACTGCTCATTATTTTACACTCCTTAGCCTTGCCACACTCCTTTAACCTGTTCCATAACATCTTCAGCTATTTACACTTACAAAACCTCAACCAAGGTTTGGTTGCCGAACAGATTGCATCCGCCGGTCCACTTGGCCCAGACATCGGCGTGACAGAGTTCGAGAGCTTCGAAAAAATCCCTGCATGCTACAGTATTATTTTTTTACGTTTCAGGTTTCAATTGTTGTAATGAATAAGGCGGTTGAGAGGTAGAAGGGACGGAAACCTTACCTATTTTTTTGTCGGATGATTGTGGGTGCATGTGAATTGTACTGGTGAACTGTAAACGGACGATGTGCCCGCGGGAAATCTGTGTTTGGAACCAGACATCTGAGCTACACGAGGGGCTCCGCCCAAAGGTGCAGATGAAGAAAACTCCTGCCAAGGTGCGGGAGTATAGAGCTGGTCTACGGGCGGTAGCGCGAGGTACAAGTCCGACAGGTCAGGCATCATACTAGTAGACATGTTGGAATGGTGTGAAGAGGGGGGGGGTGAAATTGTGAGCTCGAGCTGACGGGAAGAAGACTGTTCCATGCAGTGAGTGATAGAGCTAATAGATTGCACTCTACACGCACCTGGACCGATGCCCAGGTTCCACCAAAGAGGTCATTGAATGAGGGTGGTGAGGCTGACCATGAAGGTCTACGCCAGCTGGGCGTAACGAGGCATTGGGACTAAAAACCACTAACCCGGGTCTGCGCAGAGTCAGAGGAGGTAAGTCGAGCTCTAATTCACGTTTGGGGGGTGTCTGATGTCTGGTCGGCGGAGTTGATCCCTCAGATATCCCCGAAGAACTGTCGTTCGATGGTCGAACGTCAGGATGGACCTCATGAATGGAGTCTACCCTTTTCGTGGGATCCCTCTTTCGTGGCTCGACCCCCACAGGCCAAGTGCACTGGATGGTATGGCATGAGATTCGCTGAGAAAGGTCTCTTTACGACAAACTCACGTCTCGTTGCCCGTGTGCACACCGATGGCACTTGGGCTTATTCTTGTCGCACTGGAAGAAAAAATTAATTACCTGAGCACAAAGAGCAGCCGTGCAACGGCGAATGAAACGGACTTTTATTTTCTTTTGACGACAGGTCATGCAGCCTGTCTTGCTGCGAATACATTTGGGTCGTCTTCACTTGGTCGTGTCCGCAGCTTTGGGAAGGGGCGCTGCAGGGTTGCCGGTGGCCGGAGACTTCGAGCGTACGACGCTGAGGACGAGCTGGGGGACGCGGAGGTCAGCAAGAGGCGCCGGTCGATACCGAATGAAAGAAGGACTCGCTTGCCGGCCATACTATTTCTGACGGTTCTGGAAGTTGGGAACGACGGACGATGGGAGTTATTCTTTGGGACTTATAAGGTCCATGGAGGGAGCTGGCGTTCGACCTCATAGGCCTCATACCTTGTACAGCCAAGCCAATTTGGGCTTTTTTCACATGCACCACTCATCCTGCTGTGACTCCCCACTTCGCCGATTTCAGCAGTTATCCATGCAGCTGTCAGCGACGGATCTGGCACTATTGATTATACCGCCTTTGTTAACCCTGATGGACTCGGTATAAGTACTCTTCAGGCCCCCAGGTGGTCAGATTGACATTCACCTAACGGTCACCCACACGCGCTTGGTCCAGTTGAAGGACACCGCTCATGAGTGGTCCGAGACGGCGGAGAGTAGACGGAACGTCAAACACCTTGCGCTTGCCTTGAAATTCGCCGAGGAACCTGGATGGCACTGCGTCTGGGCAACCATGGCAGAGTATGATGGCGACTTCGGTCCGTGTACATCCCGGAACTTTGACGACATCTATCTCGCCAAACTGAACACATCGCCTCGGAAGCGCAAAAGCACTGGCAAGGACGACGCAAACCTCGGGACTCGGGCCTCAGGCGTGGGTCTAGTACCTTCTTGAGATAGTGATCTTTTCTGGCGGATTGTTCTCCTTCTTCAAGTTTGATTCTTAATTGTCGCACGCATGTCCACAAAGTTTCGCTATGTATTTTGCAGTTCCTTCCTTGCAGGTTTTCAAAACTCCAAGTCGACCTGTTGTGTTGATGTTTCAATAACGTTATACTGTATTTGTTCTTTCCTTTTTGCTTCCGACTTGTCTTTCCGATCAAAAGCCTTGCCTCGCGCCCTTCCGGACTCAGTTGCGCCTGTACTGTAGCTGGTAGTATTATATGAATGAGGACTTACGATACCGTACCTCTGACTCCATATAGACTACCTCCCATCGCGATGTCCCAAGCACCCTCGGGTAAGGCCGAACTCATTTTAAGTGCAGGTCGCCAGAAATGTCTGCTAATCTCTCCGGAACGGGGATCCTTTGAATTAGATTCCTTGGCAACATAGTCGGATCACACGGCAGAGGTACATGGAGTCTGGAATAGATCACCCCATCCCTCTCTTTAAGACACGGACAAAGACGAACGGAAGCTTTCAATCGCCGCTGTATAGAGTTTACACGTCTGTGTTCGTCTGGTTCGTTCATCCTGTAAAGGCAGGTACGATCGCCGTTGTAGCACAAGCGGTAAAGAGGATATATTGTTCCGTAAAGCAGGGTGTCCGCCGTGACCTCACATACCATATCGCCTCGATGAGCTCACTTTCATCTAGCCCGATCATGAGTATACGTTCTAATGATATTGAAGAAGGCTCCACGGCGTACTTGTGCATCTAGCTGTATTGAGGAGGAAGTCACTGCAAGCAATATTTTGAACACTTCTCCAGGGTCCGACCGACATTAACTATATCGCGGGGGAAGACATACAGCCCGACCAAAGACCACGAACTTAGAACATCCACCATGATTGGAGCGGGTCTGGCCGCCCATATGACGATCGCAATGAATTTCGGCTTTCGACGGTTTTAGGTCATCTTGATACATCGAATTGCCTCAAATGGAGATATTCGGACCAAGAACATTGAAATATCATCAGAGCGCACAAAAGACGGATCGATGCATTCGAGCTGGGACTAGGGTGACGAAAATAGGCCAATCTCGCAAGCCGTGTGAGGGTTACTAAGATCGGCTTATTGAGAGATTTGGTATCAGGTATAACAAAGGCTAGGTGATGGGCGCAACATCACGTTGACGAAGTTATAGAACACGGAGTCAGCGCCGCGGGTCTGTACCAATATGTCAGCGCCATTCGATGACTCTTACACGTATCGTGTCGTTCCGTGGGAACAGAGGTCAAGGGGTCTATTATTTGTTGGTTTCAAATACACGGCTGTTTAGTGCGCCGAGGGACGTGTTTACGGCTACATTGTTCTTGAAGGGCTAAATGCTCGGGGCTCACCGGTTTCTCCACGCGGGCGTGTCACAACAAATGTTTGCCATGAAAGAAAGAGGAACCCGGAACCCAAAAGGCTGGTTCTGGTCTGAACATGATCTGAATCCCGACGAGGCTATCTAGACGATCAAATTACCTTGCCGTACTGTATAGCTCCTGAAGTGTGGAGCAGCAGATGTCTCGGCACCCATTTGCATCACGTCCCCAACGAGAACATACTTCAACATAGAGGCTCGAAGTCGAGGCGCGTTTGGCTTACCACTGAGATCCAAACGATAGGGCGGTGGCGATCACAATTCACAATTGACTTAGAGCCGTTTCTTTCCATATATGATGGCCGCCGACATAGGAACAGCATAGCCTTGTGACTTCATGTTTGGGATAGAGGACCTTTTGATCCCTAATGTCCGCCCATGCCTTGACTAGACCGAATGGAGGTTATACCAAAGCCGCGCAAATTGTGATCATCAAGCAGTTGAACCATAAGAACCTTGAGAGGGTGAATGAAATTTGTGGAGTTGTAGGCGCCGAGGGGAATACTTGGGAACGCTGGGAGTGGAATAGTTCAACGACCCGATCGGGTAAAGCGACTCCATGCTCGCTGACAAGTGAGTGACATTTGTTCGCGACTCCATCAGAACGTGCAACACGGCGGTATTTTATTCCCGAATACAGCTGTAAATAGTTGATAGTCCGGTTTCCTGTTCTCCTCTGTGTGCGTGGGCTGG